ACGGGACAGTACCTAGATGGGTGGCCGCTTTGGAATGCCAGTTTGGATGTGCAGGTGGTGTTTTCGGAATTGTTAATTGGAGAGCCGAATTCCAATTCCAGTTGGGTCCGTCATACTCGCTTATACACAAATACCCTTGGGAAAGGTATGAATCCACCTCTTCTACCCCCAGCTATGGGTTAATTATTAAGACGTGTTTCAATAAACGTTTATTATCTCAAAAAAGATTTTTGCGATCTAAAAATATTTTCTGGCTTTAAATAACCTAAAAAGGATTGACAAGCAATCAAATACTGATTAACTACACAGGCATATATTTTATATTTATTTACATTCTTTGTAATAAAAATATATAGATATACCGTGACCACAAAGTGAGGGATCCGTTTATATATTATTTGTAATGGAGAATTGATCCCCCACTTTATATCCAAATTTCTTGTTTGTTTTTCAAATTCTGATTAGACATTCTTTGTAATAAAAATATATAGATCTACCATGGCCACAAAGTGAGGGATCGGTTTATATATTATTTGTAATAGAGAATTGATCCCCTATTTTATATTCAAATTTCTTGTTTATTTATCAAATTCTGATTATGCATTCACTTCACTTCTCCCCCTAGCTATGGGTTAATTAGTAAAGCTTGTATCTCTAAAATATTATTATCTCCCGCAAAAAATATTCTTACAATCTAAATATATTTTCTGGCGTTAAATAACCGGCAAAGGATTGATAATCCATAAAAAAACGAAACAATCAATCAAATACTGATTCCTGTCGTTTTTATTTCCATTTTCCTTAAAATTTCTTCGTTGCGCCCATGATATTCTCAGCATCCTTCTGTAGAGCTACATGTCTGTTATCTCCAGTCTTCTCCTCGTCTGTGAAGACACTGTCCAGCATTCACTACCCTTTGGAGGGATTAATAGTCAGCACTCTTTGTTTCTAATTAAATTTTATTCCACCCTAAGCAAGGCAACAAAGCCGCTAAGACGTAGCTGGTTAGCGAATGTGAAAGAATATAAGAAGAAGAAAACATTATTAAAAAGCGGGAACAAAAAATAAAGAACAGGCATTAAAAAGACATGAGATAACGATTGACATTGCATTTAAATTTGACTTTAAAGCCAAAAAACCGAAAGAGAGTTCTACAAGAGATAAGCGTGAGAGAAGAAACTGTTAACATAGAACTTACGGTTAAATGTAGCGAATTCAAGTATAAATTAATGAGATGTTGCAGCCAAGTACTGCGTTCAAATTCATAGATTCTAGGTAGAGTAGAGGAAAGTTCATGAAAACAATTACCATGGAAGCATTTATAGAAAAGGCACAGGGAAGCTACATTACGGCAGTGGGAAAGTAACTGAAGCCGAGATGCCAGGTCAGGACCAATAACATTGCAGATTGTTCTTGGGGCTTTATTAAGAATCTCTAAATATATAACAGGAGTACCAGGCAGCAATATCTAATGCAAGGACAAACGGTAGAGGTATAAATATTTAAGATAGTTCCTGGCGTAAAAAAAAACTGCCTAACTCGACACAGGGAACCAACTTTCCAAGGAGCAGATCTAGCAATTCATTCAATATAATCTTTCAATTTAATGTCAGCGAAAAAAAAAAAAGAAAAACGTTAGTCCGAGAAAGAGCAATGTGTCACTCTACTGGAGGTTAGCATCAGCCATGCTGATAGAAAATAAAAATGGCTGACTCAGACGATTAAAAGGGAGTTTTCCGTTGTGGAAGCATTAAAACTAACAAGTCATTCCTTGTCCCAGTTAACAACAGAATGTAGAGAATTTCTTTTAGATCAGCTGACAATTTGACCATGTTCCTGTTTAGGACTGGGTCTCCGGTTAATTCTAAAGTCTTCTTCTACTCTTTCCCTTGCGTCTTAATGATATTATCACCTTCCTTGGGGTGAAATGATTTTTAAAAAGATAGGTACAAACACGCATATACAAAGGGAACGCATATTATATGAGACAAGTTGGATAAATTTTACTTCAGTTTCGAATATGAAAAAGCGTCATTAGAAAAATAAAATCGACATATAGATGAATGTGCGCCTATCTCTCTCCCTACACACACACACACAGAGATACACACACACACAGACACACACACACACACATATATATATATATATATATATATATATATATATATATATATATATATGTGTGTGTGTGTGTGAAAAAGTGTATATAAATATAAATAAATATATATATGTATAATTATTTATATATTATATATGCAATTATTATAGAAAGCGCTCAATATCAGAGATAGAGCTAACATATTTGGTTGGATAGATGTGAGTTTGTGGCCCTGGGTTTCACGCTTTTAGCGATCGTCAGACTGACGATCAGCAAAACGTGAAACCCAGGGTCCAAACTCACATCTATCCAACTAAAATATATATATATATATATATATGTGTGTGTGTGTGTGTGTGTGTGTGTGTGTGTATATATATATATGGAATGGACTATAATTATAATTATTTTATGACATTCTTTATGCTTATCTTATAAATGTCTTAATATATATATATATATATATATATATATATATATGTGTGTGTGTGTGTGTGTGTGTGTGTGTGTGTGTGTGTGTGTGTGTGTGTGTGTGTTAAGACATTTTTATTATATTTATACGTACTTTTTATAGATAAAGATAAAAAAAGTTATAAAATAATTGTCGGACTTCGTCCATTTCATATATATATACATATATGTGTGTGTGTGTGTGTGTGTGTGTGTGTGTGTGTGTGTGTGTGTGTGTGTGTGTGTGTGTTTGTGTGTGTGTGTGTGTGAGCATATACATATATTAAGATTAAATATGTTGTGGCTTTAGAGATGTAAAACAATGTAAAATATGAACAGTGAAACCTCGCGATTCACGAATTTAATTCGTTCCTGAAGGCCTTTCGTAACCCGAAATATTCGTAAACCAAAACTATTTGTCCAATAGGAATCAATGTAGAGGAAAAAATGTCACAGTACAATAAAATTGGAAAAAAAAAAAAAAAAGGCACAACACAAGACACAAATGTTTACAACACGGCAGTCGCCTCAGATATTCTTCCGTTCGGGTTAACTCGGTTCGACAATTGTTCGAAAACCAAGGCATTTTCATCTCGAATTTTCTGTTTAAAAACCGATTTGTGAGACATGTGAGAGGTTCGAGAACAGGGGTTGCAACGTAGAGATAAGTTTGTGCCTACATATCTGTCTCTGTGTGTGTGTGTGTGTGTGTGCGCGCGCATGCGCACGATTTTGATCCCAAGAAGACATTGCCAAAATTTCTGATGCAGGCACTTGATTAGATTTGAGAAACTGTGTCAGACCGAGAATTTTTCAGCACCTAATCGAAATATATAAAAATACTTGCGTGAGCTCACACAGACACATATATATAGGTGTGTGTGTGTGTGTGTGTGTGTGTGTGTGTGTGTGTGTGTGTGTGTGTGTGTGTGTGTGTGTGTGTGTGTCATGTAGAAGTGTACAAATGACAATCGACAAAAAAAAAGTAAAGTCCGGCTAATTAGTTCGTTAATGCAAAGTAAAAACTGTCGATTTCTAGTAACTTCCTCTATTCCATTGCGTTGTATATGTAAATGGATAGATAGATAAATAGAAAATGAATAGAATGAGATAGATAGATAGATAGATAGATAGATAGATAGATAGATAGATAGATAGATAAGACTAGAGATAGATAGATAGGATCAGACTGAGATAGATAGATAGATAGATAGATAGATAGATAGGAATAGACTGAAATAGATAGATAGATAGATAGATAGATAGATAGATAGATAGATATGAATAGAGTGAGATAGACAGAAATTCCTATTTACTTAATTTCCTTTACATAATGACGTCCAAACTTTCAAATTCTATTCCATTATGTAAGTCTTTTATCTCTTGTGATTTTAATTACTCGAGACTTTGTTTATGACGTGTGTGTGTGTGTGTGTCTGTCTGTCTGTGTGTGTGTGTGTGTGTGTGTGTGTGTGTGTGTGTGTGTGTGTGTGTGTGTGTGTGTGTGTGTGTGTGTTTTGCTTTTGTTTTTTTGTTTTTTTTAGACATTCTTATTTCGACAATTTTCGGATTTGGCAAACAGCATTTGGTTGATTTGAGTCAAATGAGCTTCGAAATCCATTGTCAATAAAAAGCCTACTTAGCTATTTACGTCTAACTGGTCTTTTTTTTCTTTTTTTTCGCTTTGTGTAAAAGTTATTTGACAAGCATTTGACTGTTTTAATCGGAGTGAATTTCGTTTTAAATTTTTTTTTTTGGGGGGTACAGTTTTTCACCTAATACAAGACCCGTGAGCCACTCGAGGTAGACAGTTACTGAATAAAGTAGGTAGCATTTGGACCTAGATTGTAAGTGATTAAGATTTTTGTGGTCGACGAATCATTTTCTCTGGTGTCTGTTCTCCAAACTAGCGGTTCTTAAAAAGAGGTTGTCCGAATGGAACTTCCTCCTAACAAATGGAATACGAAGGGAAATAGGATGATTTGACTGTCTACAGTATGTCGGGTCTCTGTTGTTAAGGCCTGAATTGCTGGAACTAAGGAATGCAGATTGTCTGAACATTTGCCATGGAAAAAGTGATTGTGTAGCGAGAGGCTTAGCTGTAAATGTCCGAACTGGTGGAAATAAAGAATGTAGCTCACCTGAACATTTGCCATGGAAATAGCGATAGAATAGAAAAAGTCTCAACTGGTGGAACTAAGGAATGTAACCCGTCTAAACATTTGCAGTAATATAGGTCCTCAGAATATATGTGGGGAAGGATTTAAATTGGAAAATAATTCATCATCCATAAGTCCGTGTAGACCATTGGGACCTGGGCAGTTCCAATGCAAATAAAGCAACAATAATCCATTTTTGTTTGATGTGAGTCTTGTAAAGATGAAGCAAGGAAGGTAGAACAATGAAGCGACCACTTTCCAGCCTCTTTTACAAGACGCCGTATATTGTATTTTCAGATATATAAAAAAATAAATAAGTATATGGTTTTTAGTGTCAGACCGGCTCTATAATATTTTTTAAATTTTGAAAATATTATTTATTTATGGCGAAAATGTTAAATAGCTAATTTTATTTTTATGAACGATAGATAGATAGATAGATAGATAGATAGATAGATATGAACACACTGAAATAGAAATGAACAGCTTGAGATAGATAGATAGATAGATAGATAGATAGATAGATAGATAGATAGATAGATATGAATAGACCGAAATAGATAGATAGATAGATAGATAGATAGATAGATAGATAGATAGGAACAGACTGTGAATCATGGCAATTCCCTGATGATAAGTAAAAGCAATGTGTGGCGAACCATGATTGCCTACTTCATAAATGGACATCTCATTTAAAATGTCAGAGAATGCACGATTTTGTTGAAATTCTAGGCAGACAAAGAAGGAAAGAATTAAAAATAAAAAGGGAAAGGAAGGAAGGAAGGAAGGAAGGAAGGAAGGAAGGAAGGAAGGAAGGAAGGAAGGAACCAAAAAAATACAAGAAAGGAAAGAAGGAACGTAGCGGGAAAAAAAGAAGAATTAAGAATAAGAAAAAGAGTCACGGGTAAAAGAAGGAGTCATTAGAATTTGAAAATGAAGAAAGTGGAAATTAAAAAAAAAGAGAGAAGAAATGATGTGAAGAAATAAATAGAGAAAAAAATCATGTCGGGGTGGAAGGAATTAAAAGAAAGAAAGAAAGAAAGAAAGAAAGAAAGAAAGAAAGAAAGAAAGAAAGAAAGAAAAAGAAAGAAAGAAAGAAAGAAAGAAGGAAATAAAGAAAGAAAGAAAGAAAGAAAGAAAGAAAGAAAGAAAGAAAGAAAGAAGGAAATAAAGAAAGAAAGAAAGAAAGAAGGAAATAAAGAAAGAAAGAAAGAAGGAAATAAAGAAAGAAAGAAAGAAAGAAAGAAGGAAATAAAGAAAGAAAGAAGGAAATAAAGAAAAGAAAAAAGAAAGAAGAAAAAGAAAGAAAGAAAGAAGGAAAGAAAAAAAGAAAAGAAGGAAAGAAAGAAAGAAAGAAAGAAAGAAAGAAAGAAGGAAATAAAGAAAAAAGAAAGAAAAGAAAGAAGGAAATAAAGAAAAGAAAGAAGGAAAGAAAGAAAAAAGAAGGAAATAAAGAAAGAAGGAAATAAAGAAAGAAAGAAAGAAGGAAATAAAGAAAAGAAAGAAAGAAAGAAAGAAGGAAATAAAGAAAGAAAGAAGGAAAGAAAAGAAAGAAAGAAAGAAGGAAATAAAGAAAGAAAGAAGGAAATAAAGAAAGAAAGAAAGAAAAAAAGAAGGAAAGAAAGAAAGAAAGAAAAAAAGAAAGAAAGAAGGAAATAAAGAAAGAAAGAAAGAAAGAAGGAAAGAAAGAAAGAAAGAAAGAAAGAAAGACGGAAAAAGAAAGAAAGAAGGGAAAAAAGAAAGAAAGAAAAGGAAAGAAAGAAATAAAGAAAGAAAGAAGGAAATAAAGAAAGAAGAAGGAAATAAATAAATAAGAGAAGAAAGAAGGAAAGAAAGAAAGAAAGAAGGAAAGAAGGAAATAAATAAAAAAAAAGAAAGAAAGAAGGAAAGAAGGAAAGAAAGAAAGAAAGAAAGAAAGAAACAAAGAAAGAAAGAAAAAAGAAAGAAGGAAAGAAAGAAAGAAAGAAAGAAAGAAAGAAAGAAAGAAAGAAAGAAGGAAAGAAAGAAAGAAAGAAAGAAAGAAAGAAAGAAAGAAGGAAATAAAGAAAGAAAGAAGGAAATAAATAAAGAAGGAAATAAATAAAGAGAGAGAGAAAGAAGGAAATAAAGAAAGAAAGAAAGAAAGAAAGAAAGAAGGAAAGAAAGAAAGAAGGAAAGAAAAAAGAAAGAAAGAAAGAAGGAAATAAAGAAAGAAAAAGGAAATAAAGAAAGAAAGAAGGAAATAAAGAAAGAAAGAAAGAAAGAAGGAAATAAAGAAAGAAAGAAAGAAAGAAAGAAAAAAGGAAATAAAGAAAGAAAGAAGGAAATAAAGAAAGAAAGAAAGAAAGAAGGAAATAAAGAAAGAAAGAAGGAAATAAAGAAAGAAAGAAAGAAAGAAAGAAGGAAATAAATAAAGAAGGAAATAAATAAAGAAAGAAAGAAAGAAGGAAATAAATAAAGAAAGAAAGAAAGAAAGAAAGAAAGAAAGAAAGAAAAAAGAAGGAAATAAAGAAAGAAAGAAGGAAATAAAGAAAGAAAGAAAGAAAGAAAGAAAGAAATAAAGAAAGAAAGAAAGAAGGAAATAAAGAAAGAAAGAAAGAAGGAAATAAATAAAGAGAGAGTGAAAGAAGGAAATAAAGAAAGAAAGAAGGAAAGATGGAAATAAATAAAGAAAGAAAGAAAGAAAGAAAGAAAGAAAATAAAGAAAAAGAAAAAGAAATAAAAAAGAAGGAAGAAAAATAAAAGAAAGAAAGAAAAAAGGAAATAAAGAAAGAAAAAAGGAAATAAAGAAAGAAAGATGGAAATAAAGAAAGAAATAAAGAAGGAAATAAATAAAGAAGGAAAAAAAGAAAGAAAGAAAGAAAAAATAAAGATAATTAAAGAAACAAAGGTAAAATCAAGGAAGAGCGGGAGGAAGGAAATAAAATAAATGAAAATAAATAAGGGCAAAAAAAGAAAGAAAAAGAAGAATGAATCAATATTAATAAAAAGAAAGAAACGTAGAAAAAACAACAAAGGAAAGAAGAAAATTTATATATATATATATATATATATATATATATATATATATATATATATATATATATGAAAGGAGAACTAAAAGAGCCAAGTATGGAATGAGATTAACTGATGAAGGAAATAAAAGAGGACCCACTTAAATGAAGAAATGCCAATTTCTTCACTGGAATTCGCCTAAATCATTTTTTTTGTCTTTAAATAGCAATAAACAAAATGGCTTCAGATTCACATTCTGAAAATTTTAATAAAATAAGTCTTTATGTTAATTAGTTTTTCTTATGGCCGCGAGAAATTTTGCAAATACAAATAATGGAAGTCTTTTTTTCCTCGAAATAATTTCAGTGATTTTTCTAAATTATTGAAGTCAAGAGAATTATCGACAAGCCCCGAAGACAGTCAGACTGCAACATTTTTCTAATAATGATTCTATTAGGCTGTATCAAAAGTATTTTCATATTTTACAGACCTGTACTCCAAAGATTATTTACATGTACACAGCTAATGACTATGACTGTCATATTATTATTATTATTATTATTATTATTATTTCCTTTGATTTCTGGCGTTTACACATTTCTTTCCGGATCCCGCCCGGGGACCTAAGGTTAGAAATGGCATCATGACACTTTCCACTGATGAAGACAAAAAAAAATGATTACATAGATAAAGCCCTTCGTAAGGTGTGGGCTGTACTTGTCAGAACAATTTTTTGTATCTCCTTGAGGCATGGACTTCCAGGAATCCCTTCAATTAGTCTACTGCAATCTTTTCCAACCAGTCCTAGGGATCCAACTACAACAGGGATTGTTGATGTTCCCATATGCCACATTTTCGAGATTTCTATTTCAAGGTCCTTGTAATTTGACAACTTTTTGAATATCTTCAAAGATACATTGCAGTCAGCAGGGACTGCCATATCAATAAGGTGGCACTTTTTTTGTTTGTGGTCTTTAATAACAATATCTGGGCAGTTGGCTTTGATTGTTCTGTCAGTGTGTATTTATGTTACCCATAGAATTGTATGTTACCCATATGTTACCCATAGAATTGTAACAGGTCCTATCTCCGTAACCGGGTCTGTGTGGTGTTCATACCAGTTTCTTTCAGTTTCCTTCCCGTAGAAGTTGCAGATTTTCCAATGCAGATATTGGCCCACTCTGCCATGTCGGGTTTTATATTCAGTGGGTGCCAATAACGTGCAACCTGATACAAGATGATCAATCGTTTCTGGATATTTATCACAGAATCTGCATTTTGGGCTGACACAATATTTTAGTATATGTGTTTGATAATTCCTAGTTAGCAAGCATTGGTCCTGCGCAGCAAGGATAAAACCTTCAGTTTCAACTTTCAACCCGGCACTACGTAGCAACTGTATTATTATTTCTATTATTATTATTATTATTATTAGGATTTATCAAAATTATTTTCGTTTTTACAAGCCCCTACTCCAAAGCTTATTTCATGTACCCATCTAAAGAATATGACTACATGATATTATTTGTTGAAACTTGACTAATGCATGGAATAATAATGCAACACAAAATGTACTTAGAACAAAATGTATTGAAACAAGAAAGTGTACACAATATTTACATATAGTCTTTTGTATATTCCTGGTAAGACCGTTCCTGGAGAATGTGTTGACTGAGTCGCAGTCAGGCAGAGTCTCTGGTTGAATCTCTTGATTCCTTCCTCTCTTCCCGGTACCAACCATATTTATATGGTCGGTACTCCACTATGCAAATTAGGTGGATCCTACCACAACATTATTATTATTAATAAAATTATTATTGTATATTACCCTGTAGTAATAGTATTTTCGTTTTTAGAGACATTTACGCTAAAACTTTTTTCATATACACATCTAAAGACTATGACATATTATTTTATTCATATTATTATTATTATCAGAAACTGATGATGTCTTTGTTAGTCGTCGGAGCAGTGTTGACACAAGACTAAAAAAGCAATCATCGTTTCGAATGTCGATCTGTTTTTTGCTCACGCAAGTAGGCCAAACAAGGCCTTCGGCTTTCGGTATTTGATGCAAGTATTTCTTTCGTTGGCTATCACGCTTTGCATCATAATATACCGAAAGACATGACTCAAGTCGTGACCGAAATTTACCGCAGAAAGGTAGTAATGTAATGATTTATTATATATATATATATATATATATATATAGCGGGCGGCACCTTTGGAAAGTGCTTGAAAACCATACCACGAGTTGACCCAAGCCTTGTGAGTGAAATTGGGTAGACGGAAGCTTGGTGGGGGGAGCGTCGATAGCTGTGCAAGTCACACGTCATTGTGGCCGAGCGCTTGAGCGTGCTGGCCTTGTTCAAATTGTTGATCACGCTGGGTAACACGCTTTCTCCCAGAAACTGTAACTAAGGTCTGCTCAGCATAGTTGCAGAACAGGTGGCCTCTGTGCGTGTTGAACAAACACAAATGGGCCCGAGCAAGCGTCTGCAATAGGGATTGGCTAGCCGCCCTAGTAAACAGGTATCCTCGAATACGAGTGGCCAGCTATATATATATATATATATATATATATATATATATATATATATATATATATATATATTGATAATATTAGTGGTTATATATATATATATATATATATATATATATATATATATATAAATTTCCAAGAGAATAGATTCCAGGTAGAGCTCAATGTCCAGGACAGAGCAAGAATCATACTTATTATAAAACCCAGGTTGTGTGTGTGTGTGTGTGTGTCTTTACGTTTATATATTGGATTGGATTTCCTACATTTTTTAACCGATTTCAACAAAAGTTCACAGGACTATGTAAAATTACCTTGCGGTGGTTCTGACAGCGCCAAAAATTGGAAAAACACAATTGTTTTTGCACAAAATCAATTTGAAAACACGATTAAGAGGCATCACGAAAAT